CGAGGGTGGGTTGTGTGTGTGGAGCATGTGGGGAGGGTGGGTTGTGTGTGTGGAGCATGTGGGGAGGGTGGGTTGTGTGTGTGGAGCATGTGGCGAGGGTGGGTTGTGTGTGGTGGTGGCGAGGGTGGTTGTGTGTGTGGAGCATGTGGGAGGGTGGTTGTGTGTGTGGAGCATGTGGGGAGGGTGGGTTGTGTGTGTGGAGCATGTGGGGAGGGTGGGTTTGTGTGTGGAGCATGTGGGGAGGGTGGGTTTGTGTGTGGAGCATGTGGGGAGGGTGGGTTGTGTGTGTGGAGCATGTGGGGAGGGTGGGTTGTGTGTGTGGAGCATGTGGGGAGGGTGGGGGTGTGTGTGGAGCATGTGGGGAGGGTGGGTTGTGTGTGTGGAGCATGTGGGGAGGGTGGGTTGTGTGTGGAGCATGTGGGGAGGGTGGGTTGTGTGTGTGGAGCATGTGGGGAGGGTGGGTTGTGTGTGGAGCATGTGGGGAGGGTGGGTTGTGTGTGTGGAGCATGTGGGGGGGTGGGTGGGTTGTGGGTTGTGTGTGGAGCATGTGGGGAGGGTGGGTTGTGTGTGGAGCATGTGGGGAGGGTGGGTTGTGTGTGGAGCATGTGGGGTGGGTGGTTTGTGTGTGGAGCATGTGGGGAGGGTGGGTTGTGTGTGTGGAGCATGTGGGGAGGGTGGGTTGTGTGTGGAGCATGTGGGGAGGGTGGGTTGTGTGTGTGGAGCATGTGGGGAGGGTGGGTTGTGTGTGGAGCATGTGGGGAGGGTGGGTTGTGTGTGTGGAGCATGTGGGGAGGGTGGGTTGTGTGTGGAGCATGTGGCGAGGGTGGGTTGTGTGTGTGGAGCATGTGGTGGAGGGTGGGTTGTGTGTGTGTGGAGCATGTGGGGAGGGTGGGTTGTGTGTGTGGAGCATGTGGGGAGGGTGGGTTGTGTGTGTGGAGCATGTGGCGAGGGTGGGTTGTGTGTGTGGAGCATGTGGGGAGGGTGGGTTGTGTGTGTGGAGCATGTGGGGAGGGTGGGTTGTGTGTGTGGAGCATGTGGGGAGGGTGGGTTGTGTGTGTGGAGCATGTGGGGAGGGTGGGTTGTGTGTGGAGCATGTGGGGAGGGTGGGTTGTGGGTTGGGTTGTGTGGAGCATGTGGGGAGGGTGGGTTGTGTGTGTGGAGCATGTGGGGAGGGTGGGTTGTGTGTGTGGAGCATGTGGGGAGGGTGGGTTGTGTGTGGAGCATGTGGGGAGGGTGGGTTTGTGTGTGGAGGGTGGGTTGTGTGTGGATGGAGCATGTGGGTGGGTGGGTTGTGTGTGTGGAGCATGTGGGGAGGGTGGGTTGTGTGTGTGGAGCATGTGACGAGGGTGGGTTGTGTGTGTGGAGCATGTGGCGAGGGTGCTGGTTGTGTGTGGAGCATGTGGGGAGGGTGGGTTGTGTGTGTGTGTGGAGCATGTGGGGAGGGGTGGGTGTGTGTGTGGAGCATGTGGGGAGGGTGGGTGGGTGTGTGTGGAGCATGTGGGGAGGGTGGGTTGTGTGTGGAGCATGTGGGGAGGGTGGGTTGTGTGTGGAGCATGTGGGGAGGGTGGGTGTGTGTGTGGAGCATGTGGGGAGGGTGGGTTGTGTGTGTGAGTGGGTTGTGTGTGGAGCATGTGGGGAGGGTGGGTTGTGTGTGGAGCATGTGGGGAGGGTGGTGTTGTGGAGTGTGGAGCATGTGGCGAGGGTGAGGGTGGGTGTGTGTGGAGCATGTGGGGAGGGTGGGTTGTGTGTGTGGAGCATGTGGGGAGGGTGGGTGTGGGTGTGTGTGGAGCATGTGGGGAGGGTGGGTTGTGTGTGTGGAGCATATGTGGTTTGTGTGTGGGGAGGGTGGGTTGTGTGTGTGGAGCATGTGGGGAGGGTGGGTTGTGTGTGGAGCATGTGGGGAGGGTGGGTGTGTGTGGAGCATGTGGGGGAGGGTGGGTTGTGTGTGGAGCATGTGGGGAGGGTGGGTGTGTGTGTGGAGCATGTGGGGAGGGTGGGTTGTGTGTGTGGAGCATGTGGGGAGGGTGGTTGTGTGTGTGGAGCATGTGGGAAGGGTGGTGTTGTGTGTGGAGCATGTGGGGAGGGTGGGTTGTGTGTGTGGAGCATGTGGGGAGGGTGGGTTGTGTGTGGAGCATGTGGCGAGGGTGGGTTGTGTGTGTGGAGCATGTGGGGAGGGTGGGTTGTGTGTGGAGCATGTGGGGAGGGTGGGTTGTGTGTGTGGAGCATGTGTGGGAGGGTGGGTTGTGTGTGTGGAGCATGTGGGGAGGGTGGGTTGTGTGTGTGGAGCATGTGGGGAGGGTGGGTTGTGTGTGTGGAGCATGTGGGGAGGGTGGGTGTGGTGGGCATGTGGGGAGGGTGTGTGTGTGGAGCATGTGGGGAGGGTGGGTTGTGTGTGGAGCATGTGGGGAGGGTGGGTTGTGTGTGTGGAGCATGTGGGGAGGGTGGGTTGTGTGTGGAGCATGTGGGGAGGGTGGGTTGTGTGTGGAGCATGTGGCGAGGGTGGGTTGTGTGTGTGGAGCATGTGGGGAGGGTGGGTTGTGTGTGTGGAGCATGTGGGGAGGGTGGGTTGTGTGTGTGGAGCATGTGGGGAGGGTGGGTTGTGTGTGTGGAGCATGTGTGGAGGGAGGGTGGGTTGTGTGTGTGGAGCATGGGGGAAAGTTACTTGAATAGATAATTGCAATACAATTCGTCTTCATCTTGAAAAACATAAATTAATAAATGATTCGCAACATGGTTTTACAAATGGCCGTTCATGTTTAACAAATTTGCTATCATTATATTCCAGCATAGTTGAGGCAGTTGATAGTGGTAAGGACTGTGATGTTGTGTACCTTGACTTTAGCAAAGCTTTTGATACAGTGCCACATGAAAGATTGATTAAAAAGATAGTCTCACGGTATTGGGTGTGCTATATTAAGTTGGATTAGGGCATGGCTATACCAAAGGAAACAGAGAGTTAGTATGAATGGGGTTAAATGAAAGTGGGAAAATGTTGTAAGTCGAGTGCCTCAGGGCTTTGTCTTGGGACCTCTGTTGTTTATAATATACATAAATGATTTAGATTCAGGTTTGAGCAGCAACATTTGCAAATTTGCCGATGATACAAAAATCGGCAGGGAAATAAACACGGAAAAAGACTCTCACTTCAAGTCGATTAAATAGGGTTTTGAAATGGTCAAAGGATTGGCAGATGCAGTTTAAGGCTGATAAATGTAAAGTTTTGAGGCTAGGTAATGATGATAGAGTTTCAAGATACGAGCTAGATGGTGTTGAGATTGCGAAGTCGGATTGTAAAAGAGATCTGGGAGTTATGATTAGTAAGAATTTAAAATCAAAAAGTTCAATGAAGGAATGTTCGTAATAAGGCAAATAAGACACTTGGATTTATTTATCGAAGCGTTAGTAACAAGACACCTGGTGTGGTTCTTGAGCTATATCTTGCTCTGGTCTTCCCTCCCCCTATAAAAAAAACATGTTTTTACCTGTCACAGGTGTGGCATCTGTATAGTAGGTATATAAAAACACGCACGTTTTTATACATACCTACTATATAGATGCCACACCAGTGACAGGTAAAAACATGCTTTAAAAAAAAAAATCGCAATCTGTTGCATATAAAAGCAACACATGCTATACTAAATATGTTACGATTCCATTTCAATGTTTCCGATTGCATTGACAAATTGAATTTTCATAGATTAAGATTTATTTTAATTTTGATTTCATTATTTTGTGTGACATTTCGTTCGAATTCAGCTGTGAATTCCGCAAGTTTGAAGTATAGAAACTTTTGACACTCACCCACCAGGGGACTTGAACCCTGGCCATCAAGATGGCAGGGTGTGAGTATCTAAAGTTTCTATACTTCAAACTTGCAGTTTTAGGCAAGTATGTGCATTAAGCATGGACACCGTGTTCTCTCATATAACAGGGCTTGATAGAAAACGTTTAGTGATCCCTCACTGTCTCATTGCCTGGAGAGGATGGGATACTGGTGTTTAAATACCCCAGAATTTCCACCTCTTTTAGGGCTCTGAGTATGGTGTAGTGGATTAGTGCGTACCTGCCATCTTGATGGCCAGGGTTCAAGTCCCCTGGTGGGTGTGAGTCTCTAAAGTTTCAATGCTTCAAACTTGCAGTTTTAGGCAAGTATGTGCATATATATATATATATATATATATATATATATATATATATATATATATATTTATATTTATATATATATATATATATATATATATATATATATATATATATATATATATATATATGTATATATTTTGGCATGTAAACATATGTTGTTGAATATGACCGAAAGGGTGAGATTAATGATACTAACACGAATCTTCTTAATATTTCTTATGTTTGCTTCACCGTCAAGGGAAGTTGAAAAATTAACTCTAAAAAGCTCATTTACGCCCCCCCCCCCGTCACGGTCCGATGAAAGCTAATTCCAGAGTGGAGTGTCGAGGTCTGTAATGGACACAGGTCTTGCAGAAGCAAAAACAAATAAACTTACTGTATTGACAGATCAACAAATCCGATGCGAATGCTTTTATCAGTTTAATGTAATATGCAAATGTATAGATATTTCCACCTACCATTACTTGACTAAGAGATAGATAGATAGAGAGAGAGAGAGAGAGAGAGAGAGAGAGAGGAGAGAGAGAGAGAGAGAGAGAGAGAGAGACCGGAGAGGAGAGAGAGAGAGAGAGAGAGAGAGAGAGAGAGAGAGAGAGAGAGAGAGAGAGAGAGAGAGGAGAGAGAGAGAGAGAGAGAGAGAGAGAGAGAGAGAGAGAGAGGAGAGAGAGAGAGAGAGAGAGAGAGGGGAGATAGAGGAGAGAGAGAGAGAGAGAGAGAGAGAGAGAGAGAGGAGAGTGTAGATGTACAATACTCTCACCAGGACAATCTCCGTTAAGACTATATACAATACAAATTACAAATTACAATAGATTAAATATATATGTCTGCTTAACTCTACACACCGCCACGCCTGGCAGCAGCTCCTCCGCCACGCCTGGCAGCAGCTCCCCCGCCACGCCAGGCAGCAGCTCCCCGCCACGCCTGGCAGCAGCTCCCCACCACGCCTGGCAGCAGCTCCCCGCCACGCCTGGCAGCAGCTCCCCGCCACGCCAGGCAGCAGCTCCCCGCCACGCCTGGCAGCAGCTCCCCGCCACGCCTGGCAGCAGCTCCCCGCCACGCCAGGCAGCAGCTCCCCGCCACGCCAGGCAGCAGCTCCCCGCCACGCCTGGCAGCAGCTCCCCGCCACGCCAGGCAGCAGCTCCCCGCCACGCCTGGCAGCAGCTCCCCGCCACGCCAGGCAGCAGCTCCCCGCCACGCCTGGCAGCAGCTCCCCCGCCACGCCTGGCAGCAGCTCCCCGCCACGCCAGGCAGCAGCTCCCCGCCACGCCTGGCAGCAGCTCCCCGCCACGCCAGGCAGCAGCTCCCCGCCACGCCTGGCAGCAGCTCCCCGCCACGCCTGGCAGCAGCTCCCCGCCACGCCTGGCAGCAGCTCCCCGCCACGCCGGGCAGCAGCTCCCCGCCACGCCTGGCAGCAGCTCCCCCGCCACGCCTGGCAGCAGCTCCCCCGCCACGCCAGGCAGCAGCTCCCCGCCACGCCAGGCAGCAGCTCCCCGCCACGCCTGGCAGCAGCTCCCCCGCCACGCCAGGCAGCAGCTCCCCGCCACGCCTGGCAGCAGCTCCCCCGCCACGCCAGGCAGCAGCTCCCCGCCACGCCTGGCAGCAGCTCCCCCGCCACGCCTGGCAGCAGCTCCCCCGCCACGCCAGGCAGCAGCTCCCCGCCACGCCGGGCAGCAGCTCCCCCGCCACGCCTGACAGCAGCTCCCCCGCCACGCCTGACAGCAGCTCCCCACCACGCCTGGCAGCAGCTCCCCCGCCACGCCTGGCAGCAGCTCCCCCGCCACGCCAGGCAGCAGCTCCCCCGCCACGCCTGACAGCAGCTCCTCGTTACGCCTGGCAGCAGCTCCCCACCACGCCTGGCAGCAGCTCCCCCGCCACGCCAGGCAGCAGCTCCCCCGCCACGCCGGGCAGCAGCTCCCCGCCACGCCTGGCAGCAGCTCCCCCGCCACGCCTGGCAGCAGCTCCCCGCCACGCCTGGCAGCAGCTCCCCGCCACGCCGGGCAGCAGCTCCCCGCCACGCCTGGCAGCAGCTCCCCCGCCACGCCTGGCAGCAGCTCCCCGCCACGCCGGGCAGCAGCTCCCCGCCACGCCTGGCAGCAGCTCCCCCGCCACGCCTGGCAGCAGCTCCCCGCCACGCCTGGCAGCAGCTCCCCCGCCACGCCGGGCAGCAGCTCCCCGCCACGCCTGGCAGCAGCTCCCCCGCCACGCCGGGCAGCAGCTCCCCGCCACGCCTGGCAGCAGCTCCCCCGCCACGCCAGGCAGCAGCTCCCCGCCACGCCGGGCAGCAGCTCCCCCGCCACGCCAGGCAGCAGCTCCCCGCCACGCCAGGCAGCAGCTCCCCGCCACGCCAGGCAGCAGCTCCCCGCCACGCCAGGCAGCAGCTCCCCGCCACGCCAGGCAGCAGCTCCCCCGCCACGCCAGGCAGCAGCTCCCCGCCACGCCAGGCAGCAGCTCCCCGCCACGCCAGGCAGCAGCTCCCCGTTACGCCAGGCAGCAGCTCCCCGCCACGCCAGGCAGCAGCTCCCCGCCACGCCAGGCAGCAGCTCCCCGCCACGCCTGGCAGCAGCTCCCCGTTACGCCAGGCAGCAGCTCCCCGCCACGCCAGGCAGCAGCTCCCCGCCACGCCAGGCAGCAGCTCCCCGCCACGCCAGGCAGCAGCTCCCCGCCACGCCAGGCAGCAGCTCCCCGCCACGCCAGGCAGCAGCTCTCCGCCACGCCTGGCAGCAGCTCTCCGCCACGCCTAGCAGCAGCTCCCCGCCACGCCAGGCAGCAGCTCCCCGCCACGCCTGGCAGCAGCTCCCCGCCACGCCAGGCAGCAGCTCCCCGCCACGCCAGGCAGCAGCTCTCCGCCACGCCAGGCAGCAGCTCCCCGCCACGCCAGGCAGCAGCTCCCCGCCACGCCAGGCAGCAGCTCCCCGCCACGCCAGGCAGCAGCTCTCCGCCACGCCTGGCAGCAGCTCTCCGCCACGCCTGGCAGCAGCTCCCCGCCACGCCAGGCAGCAGCTCCCCGCCACGCCTGGCAGCAGCTCCCCGCCACGCCAGGCAGCAGCTCCCCGCCACGCCTGGCAGCAGCTCCCCGCCACGCCAGGCAGCAGCTCCCCGCCACGCCTGGCAACAGCTCCCCGCCACCCCTGACAGCAGCTCCCCGCCACGCCTGGCAGCAGCTCCCCGCCACGCCTGGCAGCAGCTCCCCGCTACGCCTGACAGCAGCTCCCCGCCACGCCAGGCAGCAGCTCCCCGCCACGCCAGGCAGCAGCTCTCCGCCACGCCTGGCAGCAGCTCCCCGCCACGCCAGGCAGCAGCTCCCCGCCACGCCTGGCAGCAGCTCCCCGCCACGCCTGGCAGCAGCTCCCCGCCACGCCAGGCAGCAGCTCCCCGCCACGCCTGGCAGCAGCTCCCCGCCACGCCTGGCAGCAGCTCCCCACCACGCCTGGCAGCAGCTCCCCACCACGCCTGGCAGCAGCTCCCCGCCACGCCTGGCAGCAGCTCCCCGCCACGCCTGGCAGCAGCTCCCCGCCACGCCTGGCAGCAGCTCCCCGCCACGCCTGGCAGCAGCTCCCCGCCACGCCAGGCAGCAGCTCCCCGCCACGCCTGACAGCAGCTCCCCGACACGCCTGACAGCAGCTCCCCACCACGCCTGGCAGCTCCCCACCACGCCAGGCAGCAGCTCCCCACCACGCCTGGCAGCAGCTCCCCGCCACGCCTGGCAGCAGCTCCCCGCCACGCCTGGCAGCTCCCCACCACGCCAGGCAGCAGCTCCCCACCACGCCTGGCAGCAGCTCCCCCGCCACGCCAAAAAATATCAGATTTTATTGACCTTCTCAGGCATCCCATTGATAATATCGGGTATTAGTGACCTCCGGCACCTGTGGGGGAAGGGGGGGGGGGCAAATGTTCTTGTTCGATTTTTGGTGTAAATTACTCTATAAACTTGTTATTGAGAAAAAACAAGAACATAAAATGCTCCCAGCGCTGTTTTAAGCAGCAGGAAAAAACCCAACACGCACGGGGTAAAATACGCGCTGTGTTTTTCAGGCCTTGATATTCACAGCTTTAATCATGGAACGTAATTTTGGGAGATAATGAGAGGTGTATGACCGTGTATTTTTGTTTGGTTTTGCCGTCAATACCTTGTATCGTTCAGGATATGGGGGCGGCGGGCTTCATCTGGATGACGGAAAACTACATTCGGATCGCGGCAGGTGTTGATTTGCGTCGAGGGAGGCTTCATATAGGTCGAGGGGAGGCTTCATATAGGTCGAGGGAGGCCTCATATAGGTCGAGGGAGGCTTCATATAGGTCGAGGGGAGGCTTCATATAAGTCGAGGGGAGGCTTCATATAGGTCGAGGGAGGCTTCATATAGGTCGAGGGAGGCCTCATATAGGTCGAGGGAGGCTTCATATAGGTCGAGGGAGGCCTCATATAGGCCGAGGGAGGCTTCATATAGGTCAAGGTAGGCTTCATATAGGTCGAGGGAGGCTTCATATAGGTCGAGGGGAGGCTTCATATAGGTCGAGGGAGGCTTCATATAGGTCGAGGGAGGCTTCATATAGGTCGAGGGAGGCTTCATATAGGTCGAGGGAGGCTTCATATAGGTCAAGGGAGGCTTCATATAGATCGATGGAGGCTTCATATAGGCCGAGGGAGGCTTCATATAGGTCGAGGGAGGCTTCATATAGGTCGAGGGAGGCCCTCATATAGGTCGAGGGAGGCTTCATATAGGTCGAGGGAGGCCTCATATAGGTCGAGGGAGGCTTCATATCGGTCGAGGGAGGCTTCATATAGGTCGAGGGAGGCCTCATATAGGTCGAGGGAGGCCTCATATAGGTCGAGGGAGGCTTCATATAGGTCGAGGGAGGCCTCATATAGGCCGAGGGAGGCTTCATATAGGTCGAGGGAGGCTTCATATAGGTCGAGGGTGGCCTCATATAGGTCGAGGGAGGCTTTATATCGGTCGAGGGAGGCTTCATATAGGTCGAGGGAGGCCTCATATAGGTCGAGGGAAGCTTCATATCGGTCGAGGGAGGCTTCATATAGGTCGAGGGAGGCTTCATATAGGTCGAGGGAGGCTTCATATAGGTCGAGGGAGGCCTCATATAGGTCGAGGGAGGCTTCATATAGGTCGAGGGAGGCTTCATATAGGTCGAGGGAGGCTTCATATAGGTCGAGGGAGGCTTCATATAGGTCGAGGGAGGCTTCATATAGGTCGAGGGAGGCCTCATAAAGGTCGAGGGAGGCTTCATATAGGCCGAGGGAGGCTTCATATAGGCCAAGGGAGGTTTCATATAGGGCAAGGGAGCTTCATATAGGTCGGGGGAGGCTTCATCTGGTTCTGGAAAGCGAACGAGGTACTGTGCTCAGAACAGCACAGTACAGTACACACACACACACACACACACACACACACACACACACACACACACACACACACACACACACACACACACACAATTCTGATAAAGAAAGAGATCTAGGGGTGGTTCTAGATAGAAAACTATCACCTGAGGACCACATAAAGAATATTGTGCGAGGAGCCTATGCCACGCTTTCTATCTTCAGAATTGCTTTTAAATACATGGATGGCGATATACTAAAGAAATTGTTCACGACTTTTATTAGGCCAAAGCTAGAATATGCAGCGGTTGTGTGGTGCCCATATCTTAAGAAGCACATCAACAAACTGGAAAAGGTGCAAAGACATGCTACTAAGTGGCTCCCAGAACTGAAGGGCAAGAGCTACGAGGAGAGGTTAGAGGCATTATATATGCCAAAACTGGAAGACAGAAGAAAAAGAGGTGATATGATCACTACATACAAAATAGTAACAGGAATTGATAAAATCGATAGGGAAGATTTCCTGAGACCTGGAACTTTAAGAACAAGAGGTCATAGATTTAAACTAACTAAACACAGATGCCGAAGAAATATAAGAAAATTCACTTTCGCAAACAGAGTGGTAGACGGTTGGAACAAGTTAGGTGAGAAGGTGGTGGAGGCCAAGATCGTCAGTAGTTTCAAAGCGTTATATGACAAAGAGTGCTGGGAAGACGGGACACCACGAGCGTGGCTCTCATCCTGTAACTACACTCAGGTAATTACACTTAGGTAATTACACACACACACACACACACACACTCCAGGGTGAGGCTGGATCTATGAGTGAGGGGGGGGGGGGGGGGGTGGAGGGGTTATTTATAATACAGGTATTATAAATTCCCACAGCGTTTCGAACCAACATGGTTCATTCTCAAGTGAGGGGACAGGAAGTTGTTGTTCTAGATTCAGCTACTGGAAACAAAATGTTCCAAGTAGCACGGGCTATGGTGAGCCCGTAAAGGAGACAGAAGAGAACATACCGATTGTGTGATATATCACACCTTCCTGCCCTACCACCTCCCTCACACCTCCCTCCCTCACCACCTCCCTCACCCCTCCCTCACCCCTCCCTACCTCACCACCTCCCTCACCCATCCCTACCTCTCCACCTCCTTCACCCATCCCTCCCTCACCATCTCCCTCACCCCTCCCTCCCTCACCCCTCCCTACCTCACCACCTCCCTCACCCCTCCCTACCTCTTCACCTCCCTCACCCCTCCCTCCCTCACCATCTCCCGCACCCCTCCCTCCCTCACCCCTCCTTCACCCCTCCCTACCTCACCACCTCCCTCACCCTCCCTACCTCTCCACCTCCCTCTCCCCTCCCTCCCTCACCATCTCCCTCACCCCTCCCACCCTCACCCCTCCCTACCTCACCACCTCCCTCACCCCTCCCTCCCTCTCCACCTCCCCCACCCCTCCCTCCCTCACCTCTCCCTCACCCCTCCCTCCCTCACCCCTCCCTCACCCCTCCCTCTCTCACCACCTCCCTCAAGTCCTACACACACACACACACCAAATTCCAAGACGCCGTCTCCTGCTCCGTGCACACCAGTACGAGGTCTAAACTGGTTCCTTCCCAACCACTGTGTATCTTTGATGACCCTTATCTCCTCCTCCCTCTCTCCCTCCATCCCTCTCCCTCTCATAATCCTCCCTCCCACTCTCTACCCTCTCCACCCCCCCAGGCCCCTCCCTACAACATGGGTTGCCCCGGGAGGGCTGGTGAGGGACGGTGAGGGACGGTGAGGGACGGTGAGGGACGGTGAGGGACAGTGAGGGACGGTGAGGGACAGTGAGGGACGGTGAGGGACGGACTGGGCTCCAACACACAATTCTGCAAATATTGCAAAATCTTGCACCTTACCTGTTGCTGTGGTGCCGACTCTCCAGCTGTGGTTGGCGTGGTTGTTGCTGTGGTTGTGGTGACTGTGGTGGTGGTGGCTGGGGTAGTGGTTGCTGTGGTGGTGGTGGCTGGGGTAGTGGTTGCTGTGGTGGTGGTGGCTGTGGTGCTGGATGCTGTGGTAGTGGTTGCTGTGGTGCTGGTGGCTGTGGTAGTGGTTGCTGTGGTGGTGGTGGATGTTGTAGTGGTTGCTGTGGTGCTGGTTGCTGTGGTTGGAGATGTTGCTGTTGCTGTGGCGGTTGCAGTGGTTGATGATAACTATGTTGTTGTGGTTGTTGCTGTAGTTGAAGTCCTGTTTGTAGTTGTGGTTGAGGTGGTTGTTGTTGTGGTGGCTGTGGTTGTGGTGGCTGTGATTGTGGTGGCTGTGGTTGTGGTGGCTGTGGTTGTGGTGGCTGTGGTTGTGGTGGCTGTGATTGTGGTGACTGTGGTTGTGGTGACTGTGGTTGTGGTGGCTGTGGTTGTGGTGACTGTGGTTGTGGTGGCTGTGATTGTGGTGGCTGTAGTTGTGGTAGCTGTGGTTGTGGTGGCTGTGATTGTGGTGACTGTGGTTGAGGTGGCTGTGGTAGTGGTGGCTGCTGTGGCTGAGGTGGTTGTGATTGTGGTGACTGTGGTTGTGGTGGCTGTGATTGTGGTGGCTGTGGTTGTGGTGGCTGTGATTGTGGTGGATGTGATTGTGGTGGCTGTGGTTGAGGTGGCTGTGGTTGTTGTGGCTGTGGTTGTGGTGGCTGTGATTGTGGTGGTTGTGATTGTGATCGCTGTGATTGTGGTGGCTGTGATTGTGGTGGCTGTGATTGTGGTGGCTGTGGCTGTTGTGGCTGTGATTGCGGTGGCTGTGGTTGTGGTGGCTGTGGTTGTGGTGGCTGTGATTGTGGTGGCTGTGATTGAGGTGGCTGTTGTTGTTGTGGCTGTGGTTGTGGTGGCTGTGATTGTGGTGGCTGTGGTTGTTGTGGCTGTGGTTGTGGTGGCTGTGATTGTTGTGGCTGTGGTTGAGGTGGTTGTGGTTGAGGTGGCTGTGATTGTGGTGGCTGTGGTTGTGGTGGCTGTGATTGTTGTGGCTGTGATTGTGGTGGCTGTGGTTGTGGTAACTGTGATTGTGGTGGCTGTGGTTGTGGTGGCTGTGATTGTGGTGGCTGTGGTTGTGATGGCTGTGATTGTTGTGGCTGTGGATGTGGTGGCTGTGATTGTTGTGGCTGTGGTTGAGGAGGTTGTGGTTGAGGTGGCTGTGATTGTGGTGGCTGTGATTGTGGTGGCTGTGATTGTGGTGGCTGTGATTGTGGTGGCTGTGATTGTGGTGGCTGTGGTTGTGGTGACTGTA